TTTACCCGCATGGGGATGCACAAGTGTTCTGTGCTTCTACATGCATGCATGCATGATAGGTTGAGCCAGAAAGTTTGTTTGTAAACAAACCCATTTGATCACCATGCCATAACTGTATAATGGTGTCCATACAGGCTTCAGTTTTTAACCCGATCAATGTAAAATTCCTACAATGAGATTAAATCTGCAAACAGTTGAATATCCATAACTTCCCTTCCAATTGAATTAGAATCAATGTTGACCAGTTTCAATCAGACTGAGCTGATCTTCCAGGGTGGAAAACTATCAATCGTTTTGCATCAATTGAGAGCACTGAGATATTTTGTTCATGAAGATGATCTTGTTTGGATTATGATTGGTAATTTAGGATCGCAAGGCCCAATCATATCTTGACTATCAAAAGTCCACTTCTCCATGTGTGGAGCATCGATTGAATAGGTTGCCAGCTATAGATTGATTATTCCGATTGGAAAAGATTGAGTGGAAAAAAATTGATCATTTATGGAAGCATGCATGGCCACCATTAGGTTTGGGGTTAGATGGAAGCAGGGGCGGACTGACACCTCATGGGGCCCCCGTGCAATAGGGGATCATGGGGCCATTGTGTCCTTGCCCAAACTCAAAAAAGCCTATGAAAAAGGTACCAGGGGCATCTCATGGGGCCCCCTACTGACCCCGGGCCCTCGGGCAGTGCCGAGTTTCCAAATGGTCAGTCCACCCCTGGATGGAAGGTAAGAGTGATGGGGACCTTAGCGCAGGTAATTGCTCTTCCATTGTACTGTGCTCCTGGCATGGACAGCTGATGCACCAGTAAACAAGGATCAATAACCATCTCTTCTTACTCTGGTTTCAGGTTGGTGACCTTCATCCACCAAATCTGGTGGCATCTCGTCCTTCATTACCTTGTCCCAGCATCATACTCCAATGGACATTTCTGCACACTGGAAACTCCTGAACTTACAGGCATTTCAATGAGGGGAGATGTCTTATTCGGGGCAGTGTTGCCCCTCCATATGGGGAAAGTTTACCCCAAACTGTTGTACGATGAGAAACCAAAGCAAGCTGTATGTAGAAAGTAAGATTTGTCTGTTGTTCCTAAATATATTGTGTTTTGTATGGCTCAAGATTCTTTTAGTAGACAGATCTGTATTTCTGTAGCTATGGCCGCCTATACTTTCATCACCTGATTCCCCAGGCCTTTTTCTACCTAAATCTTCTCAAATCATTTTTGTGATGGCTTAGTTCTGCACATTATTTAGTAAAGAAATTAAAAAAAAAAAATTGTTCTGTAATTTTTTTTCCCTACACAAATTTTACATAATTTGCACATTCGTATAAAATTAGCTGATTTAAGCTGAACGTCCAGTTGGGCTTTAACACAGCACTTTTTGCTTTTCTGAGTCCCCTCTAACCCTAGGTTCACATCTGTGCGGGTGGAGCCGCTGTGGATCCGCACGAAAATCTGTGCAGCCGCACCACCCTAACAGAGAAATGCGGATCCGCGGGCGCGTTCCATTAGTTCTAATGGCAAGCCGCCCGCACTGGAAAGCGCAACCGTACTGGGAACCTCGGTTTCTGTGCGGGCTGCGTTTTCCAAGGAAGTGCAGGGACTTCTTCCCCTGCGTGTCACAGGCACGGGAGTCCATTCAAATGAATGGGCTTTTGTACTCGTGCAAAACGCGGCCTGCATGGCCGCATAGATGTGAGCCGAAGGTAAAACATAACTGTTTTATTTCCGGTTCATATTGAAAGTGGATTTTTTATTTTTCCACTTTCTTTAACAGAGCAAGTCTGTCCAGCAAAAGCGACAATTAAAGGGCTTGGGACAAACCATTAAAACTGATGGGGATCTTTACAACAGTCATAGTTTTTCATTATTTGTAGTTTAAATCTTTTTTTTTTTTCTTTTTTTCCCCAAAAGATTAAAAAAACCATTGCTGTAATTGCTTAAAAAACGTTTTAGCTGGTGTTGAGTCTTAATTTGTATGTCTTTTACTCAAAGTCCAATTAAAACTACGTGTTAGGGAGGAGCTACAACGCTGGGGCATCACGCTGCTGAGACCCTGTGGTGGTCCGGCAACCATCTTGCCTGTACATGGTTAGTGCCTTTTTTTCTGTTACCTACTATATACCTTGACTAGAAATACATTTTGAAGCAGTATCACGCTACGTGGCCTCGTCCTTTTTTTAAGCTTACAAAGATATTTTAGACAATTATTATTATTACACAGGATTTATATAGCGCCAAAAGTTTGCTCAGCGCTGTACATTACAATGCAAGACAGTACATGAGACAGTACAGTAACAATACAATGCGATACATGAGGGGTCAGAGGGCCCTGCTCCTTGGAGCTTACAATCTAGGAGGGAGGGGATAGTGGTACAGGAGGAAATAGCTGTGGGGGATGGAGTGGTGGGAAGAGCGGAGGAGATCAGCAATTAGGTGAGGGCTGGGTAGGCTTCTCTGAAGAGATGGGTTTTCAGGGTGCGCCTAAAGGAGAGGAGGGAAGGTGACAGTCTGACGGATTGGGGTAGTGAGTTCCAGAGGATGGGGGAGGCCCTGGAGAAGTCCTGGAGGCGGGCATGGGAGGAGGAGACCAGGGAATTGGAAAGTAGGAGGTCTTATGAGGAGCGGCGAGTGCGTGTTGGGTGGTAGATGGATATCAGGTCGGTGATGTAGTTTGGGGCAGTGTTATGGATAGCTTTGTACATCAGTGTCAATATTTTGAATTTTATGCGTTGGGCAATCGGAAGCCAGTGGAGGGATTGGCAGATGATGTACTTACAAACTTATAATAGTTTGGGAAGGCTCCTTTCTGTCCCAGTATGACTGTATCCCTGTGCACAAAGCCAACTTCATAAAGAAATGGTAGATTTACTAAAACTGGAGAGTGCAAAATTTGGTGTAGCTGTACACGGCCACCAATCAGCTTCTAACTTCTGGTTGTTCAATTAATCTTTGACAAAAAAAAACAAAACCTGGAAGCTGATTGGTTTCTATTCAGAGCTTCACCAGATTTTGCATTCTCCAGCTTTAGTAAATCGACCCCATGGTTTGATGAGTTTGGTGTTGAGGAACAGAGTCCTGACCTCATCTCAGTTGATCACTTTTGGTATGAATTAGAGTGCTGACAGGAGGCCAGGATCCAACATTAATACCTGACTTCACAAATGCTGCTTTGCTAAGTGGGCACACATTCCCACTGACACACTCCAAAATCTTGTGGAAAGTCTTTCCCGAAAAGTGGCAGTCGTTGTAGCTACACAGGGGGATAGGGCGGTCACTGTATTAAATCCCGATATTTTGAAAATAACATGTCACACAAGCTCCTCTTTGTGTTCTAATCTATGTAATGTTGTATTTGTTTTCTTTTTTATATTGTGTTATGTCTGTTTTTGACTTTTTTTAAATGTTGTATAGTTCTCACATACTACCATGTAGGTATTTGAGGGAATGCCATTTGAAGAAGGTCTTGTGCTCTTAAGTGTTCCGCAATGTTCTTATCCCCAAATTGAATCCTTATGTGGTTTGCAGTTCTTGGATCTCACGTGGTTTGCAGATCTTGTATTTCATGTGCACAGTTGTCCATAATATATTTTTTTAATGGAAAAGTGTACTTGGTACATACTTACAACATGTATCTGTAACCAGCTATCCACAACCTTTTGGCCATATAATAGTCCACTTGACTTCTTTTCCATTTGTTCTTGGATCTTCTTAAAATGTCGAGCCTTTCAATTTACTCATGTGAGGTGGTATTCTGTTACTTAAATGATTCAGCTCATGAATTTACTTAAGACATTAAGAGATTATACAATGCAATGTTACCCTGGCTGTAAAGTTGACCATGCAAAGACTCCTGCCGTTAGGGTGCCAAAGAAGCCTACTCAGTTTTATGAGTCTATAGGGCTCAGCTTTACCAACAAACTGTCTGTCCCAGAACAATGAACTGCAAAGCCATGTCTTAAGTTCCTCCAGCTCTCAAACCTCCCATTGAAGTTAATCAACTAAGAGCTGTGAAAAAACAGCTTCTGAAATAAGACAGACTTTACATCTGAAGAAATTCTTATTGCTCTCATGCTTACTTCTACAGATTGTCTCCGGAGACTTACCTTCAGGTACAAGTTGTAAAATTTGCCACCATGGAGATAAACAACAATTCTGAGATCCTTCCAAATGTCACATTAGGTTTCCAGGCCTACGATTCCTGTTCTATTCTTCAAAGGGAACTGGAGGGCACTCTATGGATGCTGACAGGGCAGAGCCAAGCCATTCCCAACTTTCAATGCCAGAGAAAAGAGAAGTTGGCCGCTATCATTGGACATTCCACCTCTACATACTCCATCCTCATGGCTCATATTCTTGGGCTAAGCAGGTATCCACAAGTAAGATGATATTTCTGTGTCTAAACCAGTGCTTATTGCTTTCACAGTGGACATTTTTCAGCTGTTAATATTTTTAAATGAGTCGCTGTTTTTTAACCACTTCCAGTCCGGACACTTTCACCCCCTTCCTGTCCAGGGCAATTTTCAGCTTTCAGCACTATCACACTTTGAATGATAATTACGCGGTCATGCTACACTGTACCCATATGAATTTTTGAGCATTTTTTTTAGACAGATAAAACTTTATTTTGGTGGTATTTATTCACCACTGGGATTTTTATTTTTTTTGCTATATAAATGAAAAAGTCCAAAAACTTTGAAAAAAGGTGTTTTTCTTATACAATTTTACAAATAAATAATTTGTCTTCATAAATCTTGTCCAAAATGTATTCAGTTATCATTTTAGTAAAAACAAATAACTCAAATTAGTTTATAACCAAACATTATAATTTTTCTAAATTTTTTTACATTTTTATTTTATTTTTTTATATTACTTTTTATATTTTTTGGGGTTTTTTTTTTACATACTGTCACCCTAGCAGTACAGTGTCACCATAGTGACACTGTACTACTTGTGGGGGGTTATGAAGTTTTTTTTTTTAGCCTTGTACTATGTGACCTCTGTGATCATTCACAGATTTCACACGTAGTAAGTAATGATGTCAGAAGTGACATCTTGCATACTACTCTTCATGTGATCACTGATTGGCCAGTCAGTGATCACGTGATTGGGGCCTCATACGGCGGTCCTATACAACGATCAGTGTTCCACTGTGTCTGGAGGACACAGTGGGCACCGGATCGCGGTGCTGCGCACTCCCAGAGTGTGCGCACAAGCAGGCAGCGGGGAGGCCGTTTATAAACGGCCACCCACTCCTGCACTGCTCCTGTCTGGCCGTTTATATACATGGGCCAGACGGGAAGTGGTTAATTCATGGCCATTATACTCCTATTTTGTCATTCATTTATAAAACATCTTGAATTAGAGGTCTTCACTGGATGGAATTAATTTCAAAAGGGATATCAAAATTTGAAAAAGCCAGCTCATGACCTCAATCTATTCCAATCCAATTCCTACTTTATTGTAACATATCAGAATAAAAGCCAAGACTCCCACTCTGATGGCTTTCAGCCAATACTGGCCTAATGCCTAGTACACACGGGAAGAAAATCAGACAAAAAATACCGCTTTTGGAGCGATTGTCCGATAATGTGATCGATAGTACACAGCTTTCCAGAGCTAATCATGACAGTTCATGTGAAATTATCTGAAGAGGTAAGCATGAAACTTTTTCTCGTACGATAATAGAAAGATAATCATTCAATCAGTACTGTATTTGTCCATAAAAAATCGAGTGACCAAGACCATGCATGCTCTGAAATGAAAGAATACATTACAGTACAATACAAGACATTACGTCATAACAGAAAGTTCTATTCTGTCTTATGAAAATTTTGGTAACTTTGGTAACTTTGTTTAGTTTTCGATATGAGACTAACATGCAAAAAAAATGGATGATCATTCTCATCGTGCGTAGTCCTTGCAGGATTAAAGTGGTTGTAAAGGCTAAAGGTTTTTTACCTTCATGCTTTCTTTGTACAGCTGATCCCCCCCGATACATCACCTGAGCCCCCTCTTAATCTAGCAACGTGCATGAGAGTCTTGGCTTTCTTGAGTCTCTCTCTCCTCATTAGCTAAGACAGCAGCAGGAGATATTGGGTCCCGCTACTGTCATTCACAGCCAGTGAGCCAATGAGGAGAGAGCAAAAGGGGGGATGAGCCTCAGCTGTGTCTGAATGGGCACACAGAGCAGCGACTGAGGAGCAGCAAGCTGCTTGCTGTGGGGGCACTTGGCAGTAGGAAGGGGCCAGGAGCACCAGTGGAGGACCCGAGAAGAGGAGAATTGGGGCTGCTCTGTGCAAAACCACTGCACAGAGCAGGTAAGTATAACATGTTTGTTATTTTTTTTTTTAAATTGCCTTTAATGCCACGATTGACCAAAACATATCAGAATGGATGTTGATCTTGGCTTGAGATTGTGTGCTGGTTCATTGAACTTTTGAGCTTTCTGACCTTGGAGAGGAATGTGTCCATGCAATATCTGCTGTGGTCCAGATGATAGATTATACAGTCACATGAGCTGATTAGTGTTCCACATTACTGTTAAAAGGGATGTGTCGTCTCCTAAAATCATGAAACTTGTGGCTAAACTCAAAAACAAAATTTTAATGTTACGCAACTTACTAGTCCTTAGATTTGTTAGGTGCATTTGTTTCCTCTTTTCAGATTTATTTTACTTTTTTTTTACCAGGCGATCTTTCAAGTAACCCAAAGGTGACAATGCTCACTTAGTGTACTGTATCTATGGAGGAACAGCATCCTCTTCCTATGACAGGAAGTGTGTCAGGACTACAACATATCTCTCATGCCATGTATGCTGGTCCACAGGACTATGTCAAGGCAAAATAATAATAAAACACATATGCAGGTCATATTTACAATACGTGCACATTTCAGGTATTGCATCCCTTTAACCGCCTCCCGCCTGCCATATAATGAAATGACGGGCGCAAGGCGGTTCTCTCTTTCTGGAAGGATGTCATATGACGTCCTCCACTCTAACCATGCATGTGCGCCCCGGGGGTGTGCAGCGCGGCGATCGGTGGTGCGCTGTGTCCCTGGGAATTTTTGTAACTAGTAACTTTGTTTAGTAAATTTGTTTTCGATATGAGACTAACATGCAATACCTGTCAGTGTCCATCAATGCCACCTGTCAGTGCCCATCAATGCCACCTGCCAGTGCCCATCAGTGCCACATCAATGCCACATATCAGTGCCTACCAGTGTACATCAATGCCACCTATCAGTGCAACCTATCAGTGCCAGTCAGCGCTGCCAATCAGTGCCCGTCAGTGCCACCTAACAGTGCCAGTCAGTGCTGCCTATCAGTGCCATATATGAGTGCTACCTTTCAGTGCCCATCGATGATGCCTGTCAATGCCCATCAGTGCCACCTACCAGTGCCTCCTCATCAGTGCAGCCTATCAGTGCCCATCACTGAAGCCTCATTAGCACACATCAGTGAAGGAGAAAATACACTTATTTACAAAATTTTATAACAGAAACTAAGAAAAAAGTTTTTTTTTTTCAAAATTTTCAGTGGTTTTTGGTTTGTTTAGCAAAAAATAAAAAACCAAAAGGTGATTAAATACCACCAAAATAAAGCTCTATCTGTCTCAAAAAAATGATAAAAAGTTCATATCAATACAGTTTTGCAGGACCGCGCAATTGTCATTCAAAGTGCGACAGCGCTGAAAGCTGAAAATTGGCCTGGACAGGAAGGGGGTAGAAGTGCCCTGTAGGCGAGGGGTTAAATGCCCTGCAAGTACAGCAGAATATCCAATGATCTTTTAGAATTGCACTCTAAAGACCTGTTGTGTGCTGACAACACACAGCATTTTTGTGGACTAAGTGGTGTCCATCCTTTTCTTTGATAAGGCATTCGAACACTTCCACTTTCCGATCTCTACAACATAAAGGCTAATCATTCTGTAGTGCAAGGTGAGAGTTAGGAGGTTTTTTTCGGATAACATGGAAATTGTGCAGAGGACACAGGAAAGTTCTGATTTTCTGACAGGATCAACAGTTTTTTTGTGCACTTATCAAACAGATATAACAAAATACTTCCAATGAAACATTAAATAGACCAAAAGGGAGCAAAAAAACAAAAGTCTTACGTAAAGACTTACATACACTTACATTTCATGTACCTGGCTCCTGGCAATGGTCCTATTTCCATGCATTGTTCCTACCTAAACAATTGTTTTCCTTGACCTCAGCCCTGCATCTCTAGTTCCTTCTGTCTATTTGTTTCTGCCTGCTTTGGCCTTCTGCTTGTGTGCATGTTATTCCCAAAACCTTAGTATACTTACAGATTATTATCTTCCCTGATGATTGAATACTTCACTTCTGTGTCAACAAATTAGCAACAAGACAAATCTCAGGGCGATGACCCTGAGGGTTAATTTAGGAAAGGTTTAAATCTTTTTGGTGGGATGCTTAAAGAGGTTCTTCACCCTGCTCAAAAAAATAATCAACAGTCAACAGCTACTAAAACTGTAACAAAAGACACTTACCTGTCAAGGGAACCAGAGCTCGAGTTGCATGCTCAAGTCGCACTGCACTTTGTGAATCGTCCCATAGCCTTCTGGGACCAATGAAGAGTCTCAGAAGGTTGCAGTCATGGGGGAGAAGACCTTCCGCTTGGATTACCTATGAGATCTGACCTGAAGTGGAAGTGGGTACCTGTCAAAACCAGTTCCCAGTCACACCCCCTCACCAAAAAAAACAGTTCCAAAACAAGAAGAGTAGGGAGGGAGGGCATAAAGCAGAAATCACCCTTTAGGGCAAAGTTCAGCTTTCAAGTAGTAGACTCTACCTAGATTTCATAAGGCGTGGAACCCATACCTACCACTAATGACATTAAAGATGCACAAAACTCCATGGCAGTTATATGCCCTAAAAGTCTCAAATTCTCAGTTCTCTGCTGTTTGTGACACCAAATTAATAATTTCTTAATTTTTCTTATTATAAAGTTTAAGGTTTCACAAGCATACATTAGAATATCATTTTTGATGAACGGTGAAGTCAGGCGTTAAATACCTAATATTTTATTACTATTTCCACAATTTAAATGTGCAGCTTAAGGCAGGGCTTAAAATTTCAAGTCCTGAGCTACTAGCCAGGCCTTAAGAGTTACTCGCCACCAACAAACACACACAAACAGACACCTGTACACACACAGACATGTACATACACACACACACACACAGAAACATGTACACACACGCACAGAGACACATGTACACACACACATACAGACACATGTATACACACACAGGCACGTACAGACACGCTTACATACAGATACATGTACATACACAGAAATACACACGCACAGACACATGTACATACACACAGACACATGTACATACATACACAGACACATGTACACACAGACACATGTATGTACGTACATACACACAAACACACACACATGTACATGCACACAGACACATGTACACACACACACACACACACATACATACATGTACATACACGCAGACACATGTACAGGCATACACAGACACACATACATGTACACACACACACGCACGCTGTTAAGTGCTCTCTCCTCTCCCCTGAAGCCACCACTGGCTGACATAGAGGATCATGTGACCAGAGTGAGCTGAAATTAGGTACACACACACACACACACACACACACACAGCCCTATAAAAAGTTGCAGTACTTCGTTGTTCACTCACAGAGCTGGGTACTGCACTCTAGGGGGAGGAAGAGAGCACACCACTCAATCCTTCCTTTGCTTTCACTGCGCTCAGCTATTGAGCAGTCTGACATCTCCCAAGGCCAATGACAGATCCGACCTGAGCTCCGAGCCTGCTCAGCAAGACGGCCCTGGGGGACACACTCGCCCTCACCATAATTTCCACTCGCCACTGGCGAGCAGGCAAGTGGAAATTTCAAGGCCTGGTTTAAGGTATAGTCTGAAATAGCACCTATTCCATTAATTTACTTTTTAAATAGACAAAGTGACAAACCTGTAGGTTTAGCCATTTTAGGATACAACAATATATCAAGGAACCACATGATTTAGCATGCTTATGTTTTTGTGTTTTGAAACCATACATACTTTTTTGATCATTTTTTTTTCACAGATAAGCCACTTCTCAACTAGTTCCCTTCTGAGTGACAGAAAAAAGTTTCCATCCTTCTTCCGAACTGTGCCAAGTGATGCTTTTCAATCGAAAGGATTGGCCAAGTTGGTGTTAAAATTTGGCTGGACATGGGTTGGCTTGGTGGCTGTGGCTAACGACTATGGGCAACAAGGAATTCAGGTCATTAAGCAA